CATCATCTTTAGATGAGTTTTTAAGGGAAACGGCTGCTCCGAAAGACTTCAATAAGGTGTACATTTCTTAAGTAGAAAATATAGGGGAAAATGATTTTCTATTCCGAAATGACATACACCGTGGCACAAAAAAGTTGAAGCGATTTAAAAGGATCCTAATGGTCGCTTGTGGCGCCCTCTGGGAGATACAACCAATGGTCCATAAAATTTGAATTTCCCGTCCCAAGAAACCTCCGCATACAAAATTTCATAAATTTAACTCAAAAGTGGTCGAGAGTTATTAAAGAAAATGTAATTAATTTTTTTAAATTTGATATCCTGTATATCCTAAACGAAACGTTTACAGACCTGGGTTCATAGGACATTTTTTGCTTATGTGTATATGCACGATTTTTTTAAGGAGTACCGCAATATTTACTTGAGACATAATTGTCTTTTATGAACTATGATGTTGCCTTCTTCAAAACAAATCATTTAATCCAATCTAGAAAATACCAAATACTTAAATCGAAGGTTGTATAGAACCAGTTATGTAAAATCGTCAGTGGTGGCTGGTGCAGGGGGCTCGGAGCGCCGCCCCCTATAAAAAAAGATATTTAAAATTTAGTTTACAGGATTATCTATATAATTAAACAGATTAGCCTTATGAAACACATTTTAAAGGAAATGTTAAATTTGTAATGCGCCCCTAAATCTGTAAAATGTTTACCGCTGTGGTCATGGTTACTGTTCTGCAGCAATGAAAGACGGAGTGAGAGTAGCGCATATTTACTATGTAGGCTCTGTTTAGTCCGCCCGTAAATTTACACCTATCCACATTGAACGTAGAACGACAGGGCTGGTACAGGGCCTTCATCAAAAGGTCCATATTTGGACCAGTAATTTCCTTTACATTGGCAATTAAATTTCGGTAAAATTGAAAATTATTAAAATTGGTGTAATTTTTCACGAGATTTTTCTACAAATTAGCGTAGACGCTTTGGTTTGTTCTTTGTAAACAAATCATTAATGTTGTTTACGTTACGTTTTAGGGATTTTTTGTTGACAGTACCGATCAAGGGGTTTCCTAAGTTCGGCGATCACGTGGCTTATAATCATTTATGAAAGATGTGTATTATAGAAAGTTTACTGTTACCGATTGTTCTTTGTACTCATAAATTTTCTATCAATTTTTTAAGCATAATCTGCCAACGAAATCCGTTTAACATTGTACAGTACATGACCTAGTAATCTCATGAATATTTACGACGAAATAGTAGATATAGTGCGTGTTTTTCTTGTGTAATTACAAGATTATTTATTGCAACATCAGACGTCAGTTACAATTAGTTATTAATCATTAAAATGTCTCGATTCGTTTCGCGATATAAATGAATAAATCTTCTCTGTTTCACAAATACTGTACTGTTCTTTTATGTGATGTAGATGAGTTTTTAATTACGTTTACGGTATGTACCTACATAATGTCGGGCATTGATTACGATGAATACATTTTGTGCCCTTGGCTTGAAATTTCTAAGGTGCGCCCACACGGCACTGATGAAAAATATGGCTCGTTATTGACCTTACATATTATTCTAATGTCATCTTAAATATTTCAGTAGCTCGAATAATGGTCGTTTTAGGATTATTAACATTCTTGTCTAGTGACATTCCGTCAGTGGTATAAAGTGGCTGATTACATCTGAAAATTCCATTTCAGCCTTTCAAGTGAAGTATGTTAGATGATATTCCGGATTTTTAGTCACAAACCTTAAAAAAAATCAAGTGTACAGGGTGGTTGAGTTTCGATAGTTTTATAGGGTACAGCCAAAACGGTGATAGATACAAAAAATCTGATGTGGATGTCCCGTCCTCTTTTTTTGAGTTTACTTCACTGGTACCAAAAGGTCTTGGCTAACTTGATTAGTTTTAGATATACAGGGTTTTTTCGAAAAATTGCCCATTTACATTAACCTCTCTATCTCCGTTGTCATTTAATTTAGAAGAAAAATGTGTGCACATTATTTGTTCTATTTTTTATTAGAAAGCCAGTGGCGTACACAGATTTTTTTCAAATCGCACAGTTTTTCCGATATTACATTAACATAGGTTTTTTTAAATAGAACACCCTGTATTTGGCCATCCCGTTGAATAGCATTTTTTTTACCTTTACAGTCATATATAATATTGGATACTTTTTATTTGCCTAAATGAAGAAAAATGCAAAAATGTATAGATATTTTTTCAGTTAGCCATGTTATTTATTTATTCGTCTTTTGTTGTTTAATATTGACAGTTAGTTTATTTTTGACTGATTGAAAACTTGTTAAACGTCTATTACTTGGTTTTAATTTTGAAAATCTTCACAAAGTTCAAATGTTGGAGTGTTACATTGAAAGTGAAAAAAATAGTGACACAGCTTTAAACTTATATTTGGAGAGATACCCAGAACGTCATCAGCCAGAAAAGAGAATTTTTAGCCGACTCTATGATAACTTATTGTGTGAGTTTGGTTCTTTTCAAAAACTGAGAGCTAAATCTTATTATATACAGAATAGAGAAAATGATGAAATCAATACTTTAGCTTTTGTTGTCGCAAATCCCAATATATCCAGCAGAGAAATTCAAAGGAATTAGTAAATTCCAAGAGAATTTTAAAAAAACAAGTTTCGACCATATTTGCATCCAGGAGATGAAGAGAGACGCGTCATTTTCTGCCAATGGTTTTTGCAGCAAACTCATGTAGACCCCAATTTTTTTCAAAATTTTATTTGGACCGACGAGGCTTTTATAAGCAGCGAAGGTATATTCAACCGGCATAATGCGCGTTAATAGTCAGATGTGAATCTGATCTTGAAGGGCGGTTTGGTTTTCATGTATGGGTAGCTCTCTTCCACAATAGAGTGTTAGCTTACGAAATGTACGATGAAAACCTTAACGCTCAGAGATATGTGAGAATTTTACAAGAAAATATTATTGAACCGCTGGACGATATGCCACTAGCTCAACGATATCACATCTTTCAGCATGATGGTACGCCTCCACATAATTCCCACATAGTTAGAGAATTATTAAATCATAATTTCGGGGAAAATTGGATCGGTACGTACGGACCAAACAGGTGGCCGCCTAGGTCACCAGACCTAACTCCTATAGACTTTTAATTTTGGGGGGATCTTAAAGACAAAATTTATAAGTAGAGAGCTAATAATGTCGAGGAGTTAGGGGAATATTTTGAAAACTATTTAGCGGGTGTCAAATATTCACATTTACAATGCGACCCGCTCCATTGCCAAACGTTGTCAGTTATGTATCAACGAAAATGGCCGACAATTCGAGTACTTGCTGTGACTTTGTTATGTCATTTTTGTTTTATTGTTGATTCTCTCATTCTATAGTTGTTATTTTTGTTTAGTTTATGTTTAATGGTTATAAGTGTACCTATAATTAAACCTATTAAGTAAAGATAAATGGATAATCTAATTTATTTTTTCTTGTAATTTTTTAGTCTACATTAGGTGCTTAATATAAAAATAATAAGAGAAAACGAAGATACCAATACTAAATAAATCTCATGGGCAACTGAAAAAATATCTATACATTTTTTACACGTTTCTTCATTTAGGCAAATAAAAAGTATCTATATATGGCTGAGAAGGTAAAAAAAATGCTATTCAACGGGATGGCCAAATACAGGGTGTTCTATTTAAAAAAAAAACTATGTTTATGTAATATCGGAAAAATGCGATTTGTAAAAAATCCCTAATAAAAAATAGAACAAATAATGTCCACACTTTTTTCTTCTAAATTGAATGACAATGGAGATAGAGAGGTTAATGTAAATGGGCCATTTTTCAAAAATACCCTATATATATAAAACTAATCAAGTTAGCCAAGATCATTTGGGACCAGCGAAGTAAACTCAAAAAAAGAGGACGGAACATCGATATCAGATTTTTTGTATCTATCACCGTTCTGGCTGTACCCTATAAAACTATCGAAAATCAACCGCCCTGTACATTTCCTCTAAAAAAAGAAAAAAAAAGAACCAAACCACAAATAACGAAATACTTTCTCCAAGAACGAAACGTCCTTATAAAACCGTCTTTGACATCGTAGATTAGGTTAAAGTCTTTTTATGTAACACAACATAAAGAAAAGCTCAACCTTGCCTTAGAGATTTCTACATAAAGTAAGATTAGGTTATGTTAGATTAAAGAAAAATCTCTAAATTTTATGTAGTTAGGTAAGGTTATGTTAGATCAGGTTGTTTTTTTTTCTTGTGTAATATACAAAAAAAAATAGCCATAAAAATCTATAAATGCTCTGATTCAATTTTAGCATACTTAAATAAGTCCATTTTAACCTACCTCAGCGCACATAATACTAAAGTCAGAATAATAACTCATTGTCAGTGAATTTTATTTCTCGGAGATTCGTCGCCATGTTTTTGGTATAGAACTTAAGCTTGCACGTGAGGTGAATATAACACTTGCACCTCGACTTGCACATAAAATTTTACAATAAAACTTGTCATGTATATTTAGATATTCACTTGCAATTTGTTATTAACAAGAATATACATCTCGTTTAATTAAATTGCTCCTAAACATTTACAATTCATCGTATTTAGAACAATACATATGACGGCACATATTTTTTTTAAAAGAACTTTTGGTTTTATAAGACAAAATAAGACCCAAAGAGGATATACAAATATTTTAATTAGCATCCCAAATTTCGCTCAAATATCTTCATGAAATGTCGGACTTCCTTAAAAAACCTACATTTTCTTCTACTTCTATGAACACATGGTACACCTGTATCATCAATTTTTTTCATAATTTTTTAACCTTGGTAGACCGGCCGAATTTTTAACTTTTATAATATAAATATTCCTAATAACAAGTGAGGTCCATATTTTTACAAACAACAAAATTATTTTTATTAGTACTTCCGAGCAGAACAGATGTTCGGATGTAAGACTTATTACTCATTTTTTTTTTACTTTGTTCCAGGCTCATGTGGTATCGGCGTTCGAGCAGAGCCTCACTTCAATGACACAAAGACTTCAGCATCTCACGGCCACATCGGAAAAGAAGGTAAGACCTTATACGAGTCGATGGTATCGTGGTATAATTCAAGTCTGTAATGCGAATAATTAAAATTTCTATATCGTTTTAAGGTTTTTTTTTGAGGCATAGTTTTAGTTTTTTGTTTGTTTATTTGCATATATAGAATACACAAATAAATAAAGACAACATAATTAAGATTCTTCCATCAATTATTATAATACAGGCAAAATGAAAGAGTTTAATAAATAGCACGAAAAGAAAGCACCTTTTAATAGTTTGGTTAGTACGAAACGAAAGCGAGTGTCTTCTCGGAAACCACGAAAACACGAAAATAAGGCGCCCAACACGAAAAGAAGACGCTCAACACGAAAAGAAGGCGCTCAACACGAAAAGAAGGCGCCCAATACTATTATAGACTATAGATAATTTCTTTTGATGTTACGAAAAGAAGTCACCTATTGGAGCTTCCTTTTGATATCATAAAACAAAATCACTCATATTAGAATTAGTAGGCACTTTCTTTTCGTTTACATATGCATATTTTTTTAAATACCTGGAAATAATCTATAACCTTAATATAATCTTGTAATGAAAATATTAGAAATTGAATTAATAATTAAAATGTGGCGCGCAAAATAAATGTTTTAATCGGGTGTTTGTTGCCGCGCTAATTCATGATGTTATTTATATAGTGGGATCTATAATCGAGAAAATTAGTTGAATGTACTTATAAATGTTTTATGCACAATGCACGTGCAGCTATTATCCAGAGTGTATATCAATTTATCGCGATGGATTCCTTCCATCAATATATTATTTTGGTCTATTTAAAAAATTTTAATTTCTGGGATGAACCTATGGCATCAACATGGTGAATACAAGAACACGACCTTTGATATAATAAACTTAGTCTTTGTACAGATTCTGTTTAGTTAATAAAAAATATATGATATACCTTCTAATTTACATGCTTTCAAAACTTCATTTTAAATAAATAACTATTACAATTCCAAAATAATTTTCATATAAACAACCACCGAAATATAAGAAATAACAGAATTTTTACTTGCATAATATATATATGCAATAATTTCATTTTTAGATGTTATTTAAAAATTATAAAATATTGGAAATATGCTAATGTTTAAAAAAATAGAATTATTCTGACTATTAAATTCAATCCAGGAAACAGAGCTCCAAGAACTCCGTCAAGCGATGGACTCCCTCAGGGCCCAGTCCATCCAGGCGGGTATAGGTAACGGCCTAGCTCGCCAGCCTTCGTCGGATAGCGTATCCAGCCTGTCATCCGCCTGTAGCTTAGAGAAGCACGACAAGAAAAAGAAGAAAGGCTGGTTGCGGAGCTCCTTCACCAAGGCCTTTTCCAGAAATGCCAAAGTCACTAAAGTACAATGTCAAAGCGAAACAGAGAACGAAAGGACTCATAGTCCACCGCCACCAGCACCCACGGATGCCGGTCAGGAAGTTGTCGAGTTGCAGAAACAACTCAGGGAGAAAGACTTGGTTCTGACGGATATACGGTTGGAAGCATTGAGTTCTGCTCACCAGCTGGAGAGCTTGAAAGACACTGTGATGAAGATGAGGGTGAGTTTATAGTGTCTATTAACTGAATTCTTAAATTATATCCAATGAATGATGAATGATGTTTTCATTAATTTGGAAACATTCAGATCATTATGATACTGGTTATTTTACTCATTACATTATAGTTAATGAAATGTCATATTTTGATTAATTTCGGGTTGGTCAGGTCATTATTATATTAACTATATTTCTTATTACATTATTATTACACTGGTTATTTTATTAATTCCATTGTATCTAATCAAAAGACATATTTTGATTAATTTTAGAGCAATTGAGCCATTATCGCACTGATTGGTAGGTCACTCTTTGCCATTAAACACAAAGTAATGCTTTGTGCCTCTATCTATTGTTTAGTAATGACGTACATATATGTACTTAATATCTCACCCACAACAAAAATAATGATTTTCTTGGCCAGAATTTTTAGCACGTTTTCATTTTTCCCAGAGTGAAATGCTGAGCCTGAAGCAGAACAACGAACGCCTTCAACGTATGGTGAGTGGCACTGCCAACTTACCTACCGATATAACGGACACCCGAAGCACCAGTAGCATCGATGCCTTGAGCGACCTCATTCCGACAGAGGATCCTGTGCCGGACGTGGAGACGGATGGGAAGAAAACAGCGATATCCGTCTATCTGGGTCAACCACAAAGTTTTGAAAAGTAAGTAGTTTCATTCTAAGCGAAGAATTTCTCATTATTTATCGACAGTCTGTCTGCTTAAATTGATGATTCAGAGCGTAATTTGTTTGTCTCCGAACGTCATTGTTAAGAATGCGTATTTAAATAATCATAAATTACCATAAGTCTAGCCGAGGCTATAAAGATAATAAAGAAGATAATATGCTTCTAAATTCAAGTGTTAGTAGTTACGTAGATATACTGGGTATAGTAGAGTAGGTTAAAATTGAAAGAGCATTTTCGTCCTCCAAATTTAAGAATATTTTCTCATATAAACATTTTGGCTTCGATTTTGAGCTGCAGGGTATTGAAGTTTAAATGTTATATCTCTAAATATATCAGTATTGAAACCAAATTTTGTGTGTGGAATATGTGAATAAAATAATTGCAGTCACCGTAAAAAGTCTCAGCTCAAACCAGTGGCGTTGCACTCCCCTGAAGAAAAATATCTTTGTTATTTTTAAAATGCAAATTCTATTTAATAATGAAAGGGTAAATGTTTTCAACATACTATGACTAAAGTAACATAGTGACATAGTTTTTATTTTACCTCTGTTATTTGTTGGGTATAGAATATAATAAATTCCTGCACTAAAAAGATCAATCGAGGGTTATTTTTGTTGAATTATTTTTGCTAAACCCAAAAATCTCACACTTAAAAAGCAAACAAATAAATGATATATGTACATACATCGCACACTTCAATTATAATTGAGGAACCAGACAAAAATATACAAATTTAAACTGATAAATCTTTATTAAAAAAAAAACATTATAAGTTTTGATGTCGAAAATAGATCAGTTTTAAGTTAACTAAGAACAGGGAAGTTCCTAGTGGCAGCATAGACAAGAGTTTAAGTGCAATTTAAAAAACGACTACTTGACTACTCATTTAATTTTTAAAAAGTAATAATTTCAGATTAATTTCGGGCAACACATACTATTAGCCTTAAAAAACTGACACCCCCTTATCCTCCTACTTAAACCTACATCCTGTAGTTTCCTTTTTACATTTAATGTCTTTATAAATATGTCATTTGTATTTCTAGGTATTATATTGAACATTACGGGTATGATGGCATTGGAGATAATGCCACGACGGAGATTTCTATAGCGCATACAAATATCGGCGCTTCTACATCCTGGGCGCAACTTGATAATGCCGTGAGGAGAGCTTTTAAGCAGTATGTCGCTCGGCTAGACCCTGGAGGGGGTTTGGGCTTAGGTAAGTGTTTCTTCTTTTTTGATATGGATTATCTCAATTTTTTTAAATTAAAGAAATAATGTATCTTTCACTGCTTTTGATACTCTACAATAGATATCCTCACTTTGGACACTACATATTTTAACTAATTAGCTTCTTTGTAGGAAGTGACGCGATAGCAAGCTACAAACTAGGAGAAGCTGAAAGAAAACCAGACTCTGGCCCTCCCGACCTGCTCCCAGTCGGTTACGCTGTTGGTAGAGTTACCACCCTCCACGTCGTCCTACAACCAGTAGCGGCCTTAGCATTTGAAGCGTTAATACCCAAAGGAGTGGCGCAGAGGCTCGTCTCCTTATTGGCCGAACACAGACGGCTCGTGTTGTGCGGAGCCCCGGGAACCGGAAAGACGCATTTAGCGACAAGGTTGGCGGAATTTCATGCACAATCTTTGGGTAGAGATCCCGCCGAAGCAGTGGCTACATTTAAGTAAGTAATAATATGTTTGTATGTATTACACTACATTAACACTTTAACAGTTTTCTTGCAAAACCACTTATTGTACTACGCTGTCAAATATATAAGTAAATATTTTCTTTCAGTGTTGATAACAAATCAGGGAAGGAACTCCGCCAATATTTGGCCCACCTGAGCGAACAAGCAGCAGCAGGCGACAACAGCGTGTTACCCTGCGTGGTTGTGCTGGATAACTTACACAAAGCAGGCCCACTAGCCGACGCCTTGGGTTCTCTACCTCGAAATCTCCCTTGTCTGTTGGGCACAATGGCCCAGAGCGCTTGCTCAGCCACTAGTTTGCAACTCCAACACGGTTTTCGGTGGGTCTTAGTCGCTCCACATATGGAACCGGCAAGAGGCCTGTTGGGAAGAGTGCTGAGAAGACGTCTGGCAACTCTGGAATTAGAACAGGGACTGCAACCGGAATTGGCGGCTATTTTAGGATGGCTGCCCCGGGTTTGGCAGCATTTGAATGCATTTTTGGAGACTCACAGCAGCGGGGATGTGGCGATAGGGCCCAGATTGTTTCTGAGTAAGTGCATTTTGTATTAAGATATTACTAATAAATTTTAATATACAGAGTGTTGTGTGTGAAAATTAACCATCGCTGTAACTTTTTATTTACCGTGTAGTATCGTTGATACATCTCTCTCTAACACTTATCTGTTTCTAACATAGAGCTATGTCTCTCTAATATGTAACGCCGTTTGTTCTTTCTGTAAAATTGTTCTTTCTTTATTTTTCTATCCCTTTCTAACATTGTTTTTCCTCTTTATAACATTATTCTTTCGCTCTATAAAACAGTTGTTTCTCTCTGTGACGGCATAAGCACCTCTGTATAAATGTGGACATTTGAACTACTTCAACTTGTACACCCTTTTTAAAAAATACAAGAAACCACAAAAAACTACTGTACTTGGTTATTCGAACAAGAACAAGATTTATTAAATCAAGCTAATCCTTACTTTAGGTTGCCCTCTGGAACTGGACGCGGCCAGAGCCTGGTTCGCCGACGTCTGGAATTACTCCCTAGCCCCCTACCTGCGAGAGGCAGCCCGTGAAGGCCTTCAACTCTACGGCAGAAGAGCCCCCTGGACGGACCCCACCCAGTTCATCCTAGACACCTATCCCTGGCCGGGAGCACCGCCTCAGGGACTGACCACTATACCGGCGAAAGACGTGGGTCTGGAAAAGGGACAAGCCGCTCAGGCAGAGAACGAGGGGGACCCCCTTCTGAATATGCTGATGCGGCTGCAGGAGGCGGCCAACTATTCGAGCCCTCACTCGAACGATTCGGACTGTAACAGCTTGGACTCGAATATAACGCACGGGAGCAACGTAGGTACCGAGAGCGTGTCCTAATAAGATCAAACCACACACATTAACTAGAAACTGTTTTCTTCTGACATCATCGACGTTTGAAAATATACAGCTTAGGGTAAAGAGAATTAAACGAGTTGCCTAACATAAAGTAATAAAATACGGAGGACGGAAGACGTCTAACGCGGAAACTAACATTGATTGTCTTGTAAAAGTTAAATATAATTTAGTATTTGTTCGAAATGAATTACTAATACTAAACAACGTTCGTCTTTAATGGAATTATAATTCGTAGCGACTAAATTAGTGCTTGGAACTAAACGTTACAGTGTTCTACAGAGCGGTGTGATTTTTTTTTAATTAAACTGTAGGTACATGTAGATTATGGAAAAATAATTAATGGTCCTGATTTTAATCAGAAAACTTCACCATTTGATACAGAGTCCAGCCATTAAGTTTTAAGACTGATTTTATTGTGGCGAAGTACGTGGCGCTATCTATGTGCGCTCAACGGAACTACGTAATGGGAAGCTTTCCGAGGGATGAAACAAAATTTTATCTATACGTGTATCTACCACGAATAAATAAATAAAACTTCAAATCTCTCACAAAATAAACATTTTTTGAGTATACAACAAACTATTATTATTTTTTTGCGATCTACCTGTTCCTAGTTAGTGCGACTAAAATCGAACCATGCTTATATTCACCTTAAACTGTGTATTTAATAATAAGTAGCTAGGTCTAGGCTGATGGTTCCTGTGCTTAACAAAACACCAATTTTAACATAATACACGAAACAAAACAAAAAAAAACTGCGTGAAGAAAAGTAAACAGTTTCTATGCAAATGCAAGCATTAAATTTCACAAAGATTATTGTAAAACATATAAACATGACTATACAAGTGCTTCAGGTTTTTTATATGTAACATAGTGTTGATAACAATTTGTTATTTATTTCGAAAGGTATACTTTAACCTTTTGTGTAAGATCGAGTTCTCATATCCTTTGTGTATTTATATGTATATTTCTTAGCATCGTCTGTGTTTTTTATGAGTTTTTTCTGGTCAAAAGCAACCAATATTATGTAAATATGTTATTTATATATATTATATATACAAATATAGAAGTTTCTATACTTTTGTTTATTATATTTATATTAACAAAGTAAATGTTTTTAATAACTTTTATACAAAATTGTATAAAACTGCCAATAAATTATTACAAAGAACAAGTTTATTATTTCGAGTGTTTCAAGTGCCTCCCTCATAATAATCTGTTAAGGAGTTCCCAGAAAGTTTATTAATAAAGATGCCAGTTCAAATGAATTTAAATCAACTACTGATTTAGCGTATAAACACACGTTAATTGAAATATTGTCTCATTTTAGTCAACGTACTGTATAACAGATATTTCGTTTGCAGCGCTATCTGTGGGTTAGTCTCGGGACTTACTGACCGAACGACTGGATGCGGCGTCATCTATGTATAAAGAGCTCAATTAACCCATTACTGAATGATTAGCTGTTACAGTTGGCTATCCGCAAAAGAATTTTGTAGATCAGGACAGTTTCTCAGAGATAGATGGCGCGGCATGAAAATTAGGAACCAATTTGATTTCTCAATGGACACGTGAGCGTACATCTTATCTATGCGTAAGCGTTCCATCATAGATTACAGAGGTTCGTTCCACTTCACTGATTGGAAAAGTGATTGGAATAGGATTGGAATTCATGTATTTGTATTAGCACGAAAATTGTCAAAAAATGTAAGGGCGGTTTCGTACGCAACTGGGATCGCTGAACACGCTGGGATGGTCGGTTTTTGTGCAAGTGCTTTCGTTAAGGAAAAAAATCAAGAATCTCAAAAACTGGGAGGAACTGAGTAGTTTTGGATTGATCTGGACCCTTAAGTACAGCTGATTTTTTTCAAATTCTTCTGAGCCCTAGGGTCCGAAAATAAATCGGGATATATAGGTACAGTCTAATAGCCTTATCAGTTAATCAAGCTTTAACCGAGACTCAAAGATGCTCAAAGTACTGGGCCTAAAACTAACTGTTTGAGTAGTGTCACGAAATAAAATTGATTATTTGAAAATTAAAGAAAGTTAGTAAAAATTTTAACAATAAAAACTGATTTAGGATTTCAATTTTCTCAACCGTTTCTTAGTTTATTATAAAAGATATTACAAATAATTTTAATATGTTTCATACAGCGCCATCTATTTATAAAGAGCCAGAGAATGGCTAGCTCTTACAGTTGGCTACCCGCTAAAGAATTTTCTGGCAATTCAGTGCAGTTTCTGAGCAATAGATGACAGGGGATGAAAATAGGAACTATTTGTTACAGCCCGATTGGTCAATTGACAGAAGTGAGCGTTCTACTTCACTGATTGAAAAAGTTGTTTGAAAATTGATTTCTAATACCACGAAAATTGTAAAAAAAAAAAATTAAAAATGCGGTTCCGTATGCAATTGGAGTGGTTGGACATGCTAGCATAGTCGGTTTTTGTGCAGTTGCTTTCACTTAAAAACCTATCTATAAAAAAGTGTCTTTACTGATTTGTTGTGGTCTTAGAGCGCCCAGCCAGGACAAAAGGAGGTCCCACAAAATGCCTACAACGGCCGCATTTGCGGTCGGGGTAGACGACGGATGGGGCCCACCTACGAAGGCTGTCCAGGCCTACACGAGATGAAGCAGGATAAAGAGGGATAATCCCCCTCGATCCCAAATCATTGAGGCCAATTTCTAGCCATGGAATAATGGCGCGCGGTCTTAGAGCATATACCAATGGAGGCAGCACGCGATGCATATTGCTATAGAAGTAAGTAGCATATACATTCCTATACCTCTCTCTCTCTAAACCTCCGTTACACTCTCGGCCACTGAACGCTGCCTCCAGTAGTATATGCTCTAAGGTTATGGTTAATAGCTCCATGTACGAGTAGTTTAAATGACTATTATTTATCTTGTCACAACGATTCGAACCTTTAAACTGTAGATAAAATAAACTAAATTAAATGACAAATAATGTATTGATCATTATAGGTTACGTTATTTGTTGATGTCGTGGATAGTGTTTTATAAAGTAACTAATACTTACGTTCGCTTACTAATCTGAGTTTTATAATATGGTAAAATATTTATTTTTCTTATCCAACACTGATTATTAAATTGTTCCATTTCAGTCTGCGATATTCGATTTTCAAAGTTTACTTACCGTGGTCCTGTTGCTAATATGTACCTGTGCATACCTAAGAGGGCTTTTCCCTAGCATTATGGATAGAAATAAAGTTGGGTGAGTAATGTTCAATTGATTTAGTTCAATGAAATAACGTTTGTGAAAAATTTAGAGTTATGGGAACATTTTGGAAGTGCGCAAGGATCGGGGAAAGGAAGTCCCCGTGGATAGGAGCCTGTTGCATTCTAATGGCATTGTCAATATTGTTTTTCAAATGAACTTTTTAAAATAAGTTTTTTTATAAATATTTTTGTATCATTAAACCAATAAAATTATTATTTAAGCTTATAGAGCCTAGTATGTTGCAATATCTGCAATTTAAGTAGTAGTACATCGCTCCTGTATTTAAAAAAAAATAGAAACAAACTACGCCAATGAAGAAAGTAAAAATTAAATTAGAATGGTTCAAAAAACCTTTCCGTTGGACTACAAATTAACGATGTACTGATGTTTGAAGAGTGAAAACTGATACAGAGTTTATGTTTCGGACAAAATTTAACATATATCCTGTAATTTGTGGCACTTAAATACCATAAATAATATGTATAAAAATAACAATCACTAGCTACAATTGTTATACAGGTCGGAGTCAGTTTTTTTGTGATAATAGTACATGTTCGTGACTACGAATCTGAAATCTTTTTTTTATCAAATAAAAACTTATAATTAGTTTTTTAAAATGCACTTTAATACTTGTGCACACTGCCACTGTAATATATATGTATTACAAATACATGAATTGTAGGCAATCTAAAATGCATGTGAAGGGAGATAGTGCGGATCAACAATGACGAAGCCAATGGCGTCAGTTTTTGTTTTGCATTTGGAGACGGTACATCCAACTGTGGATTTGAACGTTTTTCATCACTGGAAGCCATTTTTTATTTTTGTGTATTTCATTTATCATTATTGATTACAGCTCGAGTTTTTTTGCTACTGTAGTACTGTTTTTGTGGCGAACATCCACTCAACAAAAGTAACTCACGGCGAATGGTGGTGAATTATGCATGCGCCGCAACTAAAGCGTGCTGTTATTTGAGGTTACACTAGCTTCTCCAGCGGCAAAGTTTAAATAGGTTTTAAAAAAAATAAGTTTTTACGACGGAATATGAAAAAATTAATTATTGGTACGTGTTTCTAAAGGTCAAAGGAAGCTTCTGTATAAATATGACCCCCGCTCAAAGTTACACCCTGTATTATACAAACTTATTTCACTGAAATGAAAATTTTCGAAAAGACAATTGAACCATCCAGTAAAACTTGTAGGCACAAGATTCCATATATTTATCCTTCTATCCAAAAACTCATTACTCTGCTTTTTTAAAATAATTTTATTTAATTGTACATTATGTCGTTTATCGTAATTGACAACGAAAAGCTGATGTTTGCTTGAATAAAATTTTAATATAAAAGTACATATCAAGGGATAGTATACAGTGATCTACAACTGAGATATACATCATATTTAAAAATCTACAACATATACATATTGCAGATTTAAAAAATAATGATGCAGGAGGCACAAACTAAGTAATGTATATATTTCGTTAGTTGACGGAAAAAATACACGTTACATGTTAATAAACTAGTGCCCGTCTGCATCGTTTTTATTTTTTATGCTTCTTAGATGAAATAAGCACAAAAAATAGTATTTAGGACAAAAGTAAACGCAATATTAACTCTTGTCTTTGTTGTTAAACGCAGTACTACTCACAGTCACAAATTGCAGAGTATTCCAAAATGTCGACCCTCTGTAAAGGCTGGGCTACATCTAATATTATCTCTTAAATTATTTTAAAATACTCCGTCGATTAAATACAGTACATATATAATAAAAAAATGGATTACTATAAAAATAGGTTAACAAATACTCTACATTAGGGTAATATATAAAAATGTATAAAAGTTTTTACCTAACATTAATATTAATTTTATTTATGATGTTTAAAAATGAGATTATTAAGGGCTTTTTGGATAATAAAATATTTTGGAAAAATAACACTATTCGGTGCACGCTAAAGTCATGGTCTATGATCTCAAACATCGACTATAATGCATGTGGCTATGAGTATATATTATATCTACTATTACTGTTAGCACAATAAATAATATGTTGTACAAGTAAAGAAGAAAATAGCTCAGACACAAACTTTGTAGCACGTTTCAAACATTCATAATTTAATTTAAATACATAGACATTTAGCTTTGATGGCACTTTTAGCCACATTTTTTTCTTTGTTGTATTTCAACCAATAGAAAATTGTTTGAAAAAATTGTCTGTCTCCAAAATTTTATAATTGCTGAACGTCAAACTTTTTTCTACCGCGAGATGCAAAATTTTTTAGTAATGGAACGTTGAATAAGTTCTCGCTGTTTTCTGATAGATGGTGCTTGCCTGTAGCTTAAGATGATAACATACCTATAAGCAAGTACTATAAGCAAGCTTGAAATTCAGTGTATCCCATTTTTTTTCTCTCTTTGTTTTAAACATGTTGAATTTCGTGCCGCAAAAAGAGTAAAAGAAATCTGTAGCTGAAGCACACATAATTTGCTTTCGGGAACAACATGCAGAGATTGGTTTGGACACTTCAATAATAATGATTTTGATATTGAATTTAAAGAACGCTTTGGCGCACCGAATCAGCTTGAAGATGAAGAATTGGAGGCATTATTTCATGAAGACCCATGTCACAGTCGCTAGCTGAACTTGCAGAATCATTAGGAGTTAATCAAATAACAGTTTCGAATTGTTTGAAAGCATTGAGAATTATTGAAAAGCAAGAACAGTGAGTGCCGTAGGAGTTGAAATCTAGAGACGTCGAACGACATCTTTGCACATGTGGATAGCTACTTAAACGACAGAAACGGAAAGATTTTTTGCATCATATCATGACTGGCAATGAAAAATGGATATGTTACGATACTTCTAAATATAGAAAATCGTGGGACAAGTCCAACCATGCGTCAACATCGTGGGCAAAGCAGTATATCTATGGTTCGAAGTTTCTGCTCTTCATTTTGTGGGATCAGCTTGGTTTAGTTTATTATGAACTGCTAAAATCGAATGAAACAACGGGAGATCATTCTCGACTACAACTGATGCGTTTGAGCTGAGCATTGAAGGAAAAATGGCCGCTATACAAGTAGTGACATGACAGTGATTTTGCAGCATGACAACGCTCGTCACATGTTGCATTAACTGTAAAGACCTACTTGGAAACGGAAATTGGAAGTCCTACCCCACTCGCCATATTCACCAGACATTGCCCCTACTGACTATCTCTTATTCCGATCGATGGAACATGGCCTGGTTGAGCAGCACTTCTATTCCTATGAAGATGCCTAAAAATGGTTCGCCTCTTGGATAGCCTCAAAAGACGTCGTTTTTCCGACGTGAAATTAAAATACTGCCAGAAAGATGGGAAAAAGTAGTGACTAGTGTTGGACAATACCTTCAGTGACAAGTTTTTTACAATTTTTTTTTAAATATAGCGTTCATTTTCACGAAAGAAACAGCGAGGACTTATTCAAAATCCCAATAAATTGAACTTTTGAAGCTAATAACAATTTTACATATGCTACAGTCTTCTGTCCTGAGATACTTTGCTACTTCGTTAGGCTTCTACTGACTTAGATTAAACTTCATTTCGACAGTCTTATAAACAAAACTAGTACAGTCTAATTTCAAGTTGGTTTTTGATTTGAACATTTTAGTCAAACCGAAAAAAGATAAAACATACCAACGGGTTGGTGTTATTCTTTTGGGCGGCAACCCACTCGTAATTTGTGTCCTTATCTCCGAAAAAGTGAAATGAACTCTTATTAATTTTGCCTGAGTAAATTTCCGGGCACGTGTTCATTTACTTAACGCGACATCCACGTGAAGGGTTTTCTGCGCTATTTGGCACATTTTGTGGAAAAAATAAACTTTTCCCTTCAACAACCAATATTTAATTTTTAATTAAATTTAGGAGACAATACAAGATGGCTGTAATAGTTTCAAATACAAAAAGTATATCGGAATGTCTTGAATTAGAATTTTGGGAAAGTTTTTATTAATTGTCACATTAAGTAAGTGAATACATACCCGTTCTCTAAAAAAAAGGGGGATTAAGAATTATAATTATCTACTAGGTGGGACGAGAAACAGTTACACTGATTTTAATCTAAAAAAAAGTGGAGGATATTGACAGTCCAAAAAAATTCATAAAAAAACACACATGGCAGAAATCACCTCCTCGTCCCACCTTCCATGCTCTACTACTGAAAAACGAAAACAAAAGAAAAGTTACACCCTGTACAAAAACCAAAAACAAAAAAAAAACAAATCAATGACTTAGCTTTCTGAGCGGCCTCCGATACGAGGTTACTATCTGATCATCTCTAGGTATTTCTGCTTGTGCTTGGCCAGCATATCCGCCACCGTCACTAACGTTTTAATGTTCGGATTGATTTTGGCCACGGCTTGGAGCTCGGTGATGTGGGCCACGCAGATGTGGTGCAGTGTAGCCAGTTCTTTGGCAGTGTCAGGTTTGATCGTGATGCGCGGCTCGCCGGGATCCCCCACCATGGAGAGCTGGTCGAGAAAGACCACCATCCTCTCCTTGTTCTTCAAGATGAAGGGGTTTACCACCTCCATGTACGGCTCCTACGAAATATGTACTTAACGATTTCATTTTTTTTATAGCCGATCTTAAAATTTTAATTTGGGTGGCAAAAATAAGGACAAAAATGAAATCCTATGAGGAAAAGTTAGGAGAAGTTTTTATTTGGGCCGAGGGTGTTGAAATTTGAAAAAAAAATCATATATACCATACAGTATACAAAATTGAACCATAACATTAGACTTCTGCATATTACTTACCTTTCCGCCAAATTCCACTAAATTTGCCAGATTCTGCAAGCACTTGGCAACCATGACGAGGCTTCTCGTAGCCGCTGGAGAAGGTTGTTCGCTGACGAGGCCGAACTGCCTCGGATTAAGCAGTGCCGGACACAGCAGTCTCAGGAAGATGAATCCCGAGACCACCCGGGTCCTGACGAACCTCTCGTCGGGCCACTTGGCCATCACAGCCTTTTGTAGACAACCGCAAATGTATCGTACGGACCTGGGGCACGCGTCGGGAGACATGAATATACTTAAGGTCACCTAAAAGGAGATGAATTATTATTAAAAAAATACGCAGACTGAATCAATTTTGACAGTTTTGAAGTCTTTGGAATTTCTGGAACAGTATTTCTAAGGTCTCATGTATGCAAAAAATTGAACATCTCAATTCATTTGAAAAGGTATTTTTCTAATTGTAAAAATGATATACCTTTTTAGCGTTTTGTTTAATATTTTACATAAAACTTACTTTTAGATATATTTGTTGTCATTTTTCAATAATAAAATGAGTTTGTTTTTTAAATATATATTTTTCTGTAAGACAGTAGAACTGCGAGAAAAAAAATGTTTGCCTATTTCTTAGAAATTTTTGTAAGTCATTTGAAACTAACTTCATTTTTCATTAAAAAATTGTTCAAATTATAATTACAAACGATGAATAAAATACTTTACCAAAATTTTTAATTCCAAATAAAGGAATTCGACGAAAATGGTTAAAAATGAAAAACATTCTCTTTCTGAATTAAGATATTGACAGTTTTTATCTTTCAATTCCTCTTTAAAAATTAAGATCGATACATTTGAACTACTTTTTGTTTATCTCCTCTGGAAATATGAAAAACCCTAAGTATCGAAATTGGTCCTCCTAAACCGGATCGAGCCAAACAATTTTTTTTTACATCCAGTTATCCAGTGTTCCAAGTTACTGAATATCCTATACTATACCTGATCTAATATTTGTAGCAAAAATTCAGCGTTGTTGCAAGCGTCATCTAACGAGTCCATCTTGGCGGGATTCAGCTCTGCGCTTTGCTTGCTTTCGAGCAACCGAAGAACCGTCTCCAGCACCGCAGCCTGCAAAAATCCCCCGCACTCAGCACGCATATACAGGTCCATTAAAGTCGTAGCCAAGGATGCGGCTCGGAATAGAGTCGATGTTTCCGTTTCCCTCGCAATCTAAAAACGAAAATTTTTCAAAAGCTCAATTCTCGTGACATTTTTTACCTCTGCAGAATTCAATTCACGTAACAGCTCAGTTTCCCTGCCCTCGGCCCTGAAAACCCTCAACAAAGCTGTAGCTAGAGGCGCCCTATCGGCGTGGCAGATTTCTGCTAAAGTTTTAACCGAGGTTAGTCCCGGTTCTAGCAGGAGCTGCTGGAGGGGGCTGTATTCTTCAGCGGGCATCACCAAATCATGTAAATACCTGAAACAAAAATAATAATAGTTCGTTTCCATGTATTGTGCTGCCGACACTTACCTCGTTCTCAGCCTCAGAGACCCCCATTCACCCATCGGCGTTAATCCCGACAGCGTATACCACTCCTCCCGTTCTTCACCATTACCCAACGACGACAATTCAACGTGTAACTCTGCCACTTCCTGTTCCTTACCTCTCTTTCCTTTGTTATGTACAGTTAAAGTAAATGACACTATATCACATGGCACATCACTGCGAGCAAAAATATATTTGAAAAAAAAAAATGGTAAAATTTACAAAGATCAAACTTACTCGAATACGAATTCCTCGTCCCAAACCGGATCGGGCCCAGATTTCGCCCTGGTCCGCGCTACCCTGACCTGGTTGTTCAGCTGGATAGTAACATAAGGCTGCGGTACTAGCTTATAAGGCAAACGGTGTGCGTCAAGAATATGTAAAGTAAGACATCTAAGTTCCCGTAGCCTCGGCACTTTGGATGTGGCCCTGCTAAGTTGCGGGACGCACAGTGGCTTCAAAGCGTTCACCCACTCCTGGCAGTCCTCCGTGGACCGCGCCGCGAGGTGCGTGACCGTCGCTAGACAAGGTAGCGCTCGTTCTACCAGTTGGAGGCAGTGGGATCGCTCCCATAAGCTGTCATGTACCTATAAAAATTGATATTGAATGGATTAATAGAAATATCCACAAAGAACAACCGTTGGTTTCCAGTCTCGTTAATCTTTGCACACGAACAAAATATGAAAGGAGTCACTTAGAATGCAGCCAGGAATGATTTATTTAAGAATTAACAGAAAACTAGAAAATCAAATTGAAAACAAATAGAAATGTTCTTGCTGAGAACGATGTCGAGAACTAAGTGTTTTTTTAAATGTTCTTCTTGAGAACAAACAACGTTTTTTTAAATGAAAACAGGAGCAGTAGTTTTGGTCTAATTACAGTAACTGGTATTGCTTTTGGTAATACTGATTTATTTTTTTTTTGTTCTACTATTTGGAGGCAGTAAGCTGTCATGTACCTAAAAAATATTTATTACTGTTGAAAATGCCAAGGACTGAGAACAACCGTTTGTTGCCGTCCCTGTTAATAACTACAAACAAAACATGAAATATATCACTAAGTCAGTCCAGTACGACTTACATACAACGCTTTATAACATCGTCAAGAACAATGTTGAGGACAAAATTTTTTTTAAATGTTCTTCCCGAGAACAAATAGAATGCGACAATGTCCGTTAACTGAAAATGTATTGGCGTACTTATTGTAGGGACCAAATAAAGATATCACTTTTATTAGCATCTAATTTAATTTAAATTTAAATATTAAATGTATTTATTAAGATGAGTGATAAAACGAGTGCCAAGCTCCAACTTTTTAACTTAACTGACATGATAAGAATATTACCAAATCACATAAATTTGTTTCGTTTTCAGTTAAATATCGTTTCATTCTTTGTTTTCAACATCGTCCTTAACAAAATTAAATAAAGCTGAAAATTGGTACAAATGTTGGGAACACCATTATAAATGAAATGTGAAAAGTTCCATCGATCCCACATCTGCAAAAAAATTTATTCAAAAGTCAAAGTTCGTAAATATGGGATTTTTGCATTTTTCCGCCAAACGGTAAGTTTTATCATAAAAATAGGTCAGACAAAAATTTTAGATCATGCAATTATCTATAAAAATTGTGATTACACTTTTTTCCTAAGAATCACCATTTCTGAGATATAGATAATTTTCAAGAGGGGTAAAACAAGTTTTTAAATTGTTTGAAAAACAAGATTCAGTTAATCGTGCTGAAGTTTTTAAAGAGAGTAACAGTACTACACAAGCTGTAATCACCAACGGAATTCGCTTCCTTCTTTCTGTATATGGAGCTCCAAAAAAAATTACCTGCTTCGATAAGTTTCGATACTTATCTCTTGTAAAAAACATTGGTAACAATAAACGAGTGCAGTCTTCCCTCAACCTCTGCTTCTGCTCATCAACATCTATTTCGGGTATATTATCAAGTTCAAGTGTGGCTTGGTAATCAACTGGACCTAGAAGACTGGTGTTGGAAGTTAATTGACAATACATTGGAACCAATCCAGACTTTACTCCCACCTGTACCGAAAAAACTCCTCAATACCATTTTTTGCAATTGCAAAAAGGGATGTAGTGCTAAATGCGGCTGCAAAAAAGTTGGATTGTTTTGTTCATTAGCATGAACCAGTCGTCAAGGCCAGTCGTGCTCCAATGTTGAATCGCCATCAAGAGGATTTTTATGATAACAGCGAGAAGACATCTGATGCATCGCTGTTAGAACAATTTACTTGTATCCAGCAGGAAGAAGACGAAAGATGAGAAGAGAAAGAAGAAAAAGAGGAGGAAGATGATGAAGAAGAAGACATTACACTTGAAGTTCTATTCTAATTATCAATCAGACGAACAGTTTTCCCCAATTACTCATAATTCACACCACTTTCATTATTTCCAATAGTACCATTTTTTTGTTTAATACAATATTATTTAATTAAACAGGACAACAATAGATCATGGAATAGGCCTATCGGGGAAGCCACGTTAAGAAAAACCCGCTAAGTGGCGTAGAAATGTGTGCATATTATGGAGAATGCAACTTTTTCAACTTTTTGAATCGCTATATCTCAGAAATGGTCATACTTAGGAAAAAAGTGTAAGAACAATTTTTATAGATAATTTTGTCTGACCTATTTTTATAATAATACTTTCCGTTCGGCTGAAAAATGCAAAAAAAAAACATATTTGCAAACTTTTGACCTTGAAAACATTTTTTGCGTGTTCCCAACATTCATACTAATTTTCCACTTTATGCGAATTATTGTAAGCTTACCCCTATTTCTTGAGCTATTTTGACCGGGTTATGCATTTTTAGTTATATTTTGTTTGTTTGTTGTTTTGTTTGTTTGTTTGTTTGTTTGTATCGATGAACAAGAATGGACGACTGTTTTTATTTCCTACTTTAAAGATAGTCCTTTAAAACCAAAAATTTTCAAAAAAAGTGTCATTTTGAAAATGTAAATTATTTCCGACTGCGTTTTTAGTGAGAACTTTCTTCATATTTCATTTGTTCGCGGCAATGATCAAGAACGGATGGTTGTTTTTAGTTGTTTAAAATTTTCAGAAAAACTGAAATATCTTGAAATTGGTTAATTTTTGTTCCAAGATGCATTAAGGTAGTTGTATCCCAAGTACGGAGTTCAAGTAGAAAACTTTCGAGCAAGTCTCATATTTGAATCATATAGTTTTGACAACTGGCAACGTCGTACAGAGCGCAGCTGTGTGTGAGAAACAGATTGATGGAAAGTGATATTTACGGGGCACAAAGTTAGGTTAGATTAGTGTTAAACATAGTGGATGAATTACAGTTTTTAAAAAATTTTGCAGGAGTCGTCCTTATTGTTTGATTTATTTTATTAGTTCCTTTAAACGAAAAAAGGAAACTGAAATGAAAAAGGTTTTAGTTAGCTTAGGAACGTTAGGACGCGAGCAAACTATCTTTTCTTCAATATGCGACGTTACAACGTTTCATTTATGTGAACAATTATATGAAAAATTAAAAAATTTGAGTATTAATATCTTTAAACTTAAGTAGGGTAAGTTGGAGAGTTCTAATCCACCCCCCCACCCCATTTT